TTTTGAGTTCTCACAGAGGTGACTGGTTCGTGTATTATTAAGTCAGTACTTCCATGAGGGAAGGAGGGTCTGGGGTTTCTCATTTCACCATCTTATTCTGTCACTCTTCTTTGTTAAGTTCTTTTGAGAAGCGCCTGAGGGGAGCTGGGAGCACAGACAGAGCTCTGAATAAGGTCAAATAAAGAGAAGTCAGAATGGATCCTTTCAGGGAACTGCCATACAGGTCAAACAATTCTTCGTGGTTGGGCTATTAGGGAGTTCCAAACCCATTCTATCCCCTCCAGTGGCTACAGTGCTGCTGTTTTCACAGCCATCATAGTTGTGAGGTTGTTGATTTTCAAGGATATTTCAGGGCTGGCGAGAGGGAGATGTGAACAGGGCCACAAAGCTCACTGATCTTACTAATACTCAACAGGTTTTCCTTGAATAAATTCTCTTAGCTATTTGCAAGCCTTTGGTTGATTTCCAGAGTTCTGGAAAAGTAGATTTTCACAATTTTTGCCAGTAGTCTCATTGCTATTATGGAGGAATGGATTTTCTGAAGGCTACTCCAGCACTCTAGGAGTACTTTTCCATAAAATGTAATTTTAATGACCTACCCCTTAACTATTCAACTAGCTGTTCTTTTCATTTTATTGAAAGCAGTGAATTGGTAATGACCTGATCTGCAAAGGGATGTGTCACACTTGTTAGGATCATTCACTTTCTTAGTTATACAGAATTATACCAAAAAGGAGGGGCACCTGGGTGGCTCAGTCGTTAAGCGTCTGCCTTCGGCTCAGGTCATGATCCCAGAGTCCCGGGATCAAGCCCTGCATTGGGCTCCCTGCTCCGCAGGAAGCCTGCTTCTCCCTCTCCCACTCCCCCTGCTTGTGTTCCCTCTCTGGCTGTCTTTCTCTCTGTCAAATAGATAAAAACCCTTTAAAAAAAAAAAAAAGAATTATACCAAAAAGGCTTTACCAAATCCTAGATGCTGACCTCAATTTTTATCTATCCTTTCACTTATATGTACCTTGTTTAACACAGTATGATCACCAGAGTTTGAGAAAATCAAATTATTCACAAAAATTATGAAGTGAAATTATTCACTTATTTTCATAAAGAAAGGGAAATCTTTTCTATAATATAGACTCTTTATCATTATTTAGATGGTTTTGAATTCTTCAAAGAAAGAAACATTACCCATATGCATTTGGATTTTACACTCAAACCTTCAGTTCCGATCATTAAAAAATTCACTTCTAGGGCTCCCACTCTCTATTCTTTTAGCCCAATCAGGGTCAGTGACATAATTTGCATGGTCCACTGCAAAATGAAAATGTGGAGCTTTTTGTTCAGAATACAGTTGAAAAGTGCAGGTAAAGGTATAAAAGATTTTTCTTTTAGAAATATTTTATTATTTGCAAAATATAAAATATAGTGATACATGAGTAACAACATTTATGTTACAACATGTGATGTTACAAATTACAAAGAACAATATTTTAACCCCATAATTTTGTATAACACAATAAATAATAATTTATATCAATGTATATCAATATATAAATATCTTGATCATAACATTTTTAGGGTTCATTTTTCTGCAAATTCATTTATTAAGCTTATTTTAACTGGATTTTTCAATTAAAGTAACATCAACCACTCTTGATAAATGTAAGATCACAAATAATTTTTGATAACTTTTAGTTTTAAGAAGGGTCTGCTGATGCAACTGTTACTGATGCTGTTAAGAATATCTTATAGACCTTAACAGCATTAGGATAAAGTTCTGATAGATTATTTTGAAATATAAATTTTAGTACATCCAGAGCTGGCTATTCTTGAAGAATAATTTCTCTAAAAAGATCTCCTTACAAATCAGTTTTTTGTAAGTCTGCATTTAGGTTTAAATGTTACTCTATATAATGGCATTTTAGTATTTCTTCTGATCTTTCCTATAACTTGTAGAGGTTGTACAAGAAGCTGAAAGTTGGCTTCATGATTTATATATAATTTAAAATGCCTGTTTATGAACTCTAATGCTATATCTTCAAACAGGGGAAAACTATTTTATAATTGTCTATTTGTTCATAATTGGCCCATGAAAGTTTTTCTATGAAAACAGCAGGGGGGAGGGCGTGTAGTTTCTGTGGAATGTGAGGATCTTTACATTTAGTTTCTATTTCCAAGCCTGTGGGTATTTGTTTTGCAATGTTGCAGTGTTTTTCAAAACCAGAAATGCTAAACTCTTTGAAGAATTCTAATGACTCTCTGGTATAGTTTTATAATGTCTATGTGTACACTTTTATGTTGTGCTAAGTTACCAACAGAGTTGACTGCCTAAGCGGTGGCAGATATTGTTCCAGTGCTCAGGCCGGAGTTGATATCCATGCAGATATTTCAGGATGGGTTCCAGAGATTGATGGGCAAGCTGGCCTCCCACCAGGGGCTCCAATGCCACCCATATATGGAATACCTCTGATCCTTTCAGCTGCAGCTGCCTCCTTTGCCATTAATCTGGGCTCAGGTTCTGGTGCAGGAGGTCCCCTCAGGGACCCCCTGGTACCTTAGACTGCCCCATGTGTGTACGTGTGCATGCCTGGTATCCAGGCCAGCTGCACAGTATGGCAGTATCCGCTGTTGCCTGACTGATCTCTATCACATTTCATTGTCCCATTGGACTTCACTTATAAAACACAACTTCAAATATAAAAATTATTAAGAATTTCAAGATGGTGAAAGCAGAGCATTAAACCAAACCTTTGAGAGCAGGGCCTATACAAGTTCACAGGTTACATGCCCATGAAACCACTCCTGAACCTAGTAGTTCTCAACCAGGGGTGATTTTGCCCATCAGGGGGGTGGCTACCTTGGGTTCTAATAATGGACAGTTCCAATTGAGCCCCTAAAAGCAAGAGTGACAAGACACATTAGCACCAAAAATAGGGCCCCACCCAGGTTTGGCACTTTTAAGTACAGAGGGGCACCTCCTCCCCTTTGTAGAGTGGTTCTCCAGTAGAATCTCCTCAGAGACTCCGGTGGTGGGCAGTTCCTACACCTGCTTTCAGCTTACTCTCCTTCACTGGGCAGGACAGCCAACTTGAATAGTAAGAGAAGGAGTGGTAACAGCAACGGACTTGGAAATTGCCCAGTTGGGACTTGTTGCTCAAGTACTCCGAGATGGGTTTGGTTTAGGGGGAAATGTGCTCTGCTGCACACAGTCATTCAAGTATCCAAGTTGTTGGCAGCTCTAATATGCTCAGCTGGTGGCCTCAAGGTCACTGCAGGTGCTAACATCCAGTGGCAGAAGGGAGGCCTACACCTAGCCCAGGGCCAAATTCCATTGGCCAGAACTCAGGAATACGGCTTACCTAAGTACACAAGAGCTGGGAAATGTAGTCTAAGTCTGTGTACAAAATGAAGAGGAAATTGTTTTGGTGTTCAGCTGCCAGTCTCTGCCACAAGAAATTCACAAAATGGGAGACTTGCAGTAAAATGTGTATAATGTGTCCTCAGTCCTTCTAAGATAGACCTGTCCATGGGAACACCTGGTCTGTTGAGGCCGACTGCCTTGAAAGGCCACTTCCCAGCTGTGATTCCTTGTGCTTGATAATGTTTGGTTCACATTACAGCTTATGTTCTGGGAAGAGCACATATGGAGCATCTAGCATCAAACAAGTGCCAAGCTGGCTGACATTTCTCAGTATAAATGATCGAGTTGGCTTGCTTGTACTTGGTGTGAACAGTTGCTCACAGTTAAACTGATCACCCGTGTTCTCTGTATGTGCAGATCAGAAATGTCAAATTCAGGAGTATGGAGGTAAAAGGAGCATTGAGATCATTCTAACCCACCTGCCTCACGTTAAACAGAAAATTCCACATTATAAATGGTGAATAAATCAAGTGTATAGCATAAAATATTCAGTACCAGAGGCTCATTTAAAATGGTCTTCTGTGTAATTTATAGTCTCACACCAAACCACGTGGTAGGACAAATTTTGGTAAATTTCAATCTGATTTTTTATGGCAAGGAGGAGAATATGAGTATCAGGCAATAATCCTTCCCTATCTTATTCTGTCAATATTTTAGAGAAAGAAGCTGGAGTGGTTGTTGAAAGAGGGCACCTAGGCGATTGAGCCAAGCCTTACAGGTAGTGTGTCTGGAGTCATCCTAGCTAATACCTGATGTTGTGACATAATCATTAAAAACACCCCTTTTCGTTCTCAAAAGAGTTCCGGTTTGGACAATGAATTATACAGGAACCCTATGACCAGGAAGCAGTATGTTTATGTGGCCACCAGTGTTCAAGGTCTGGTTTGCACCTTTGCAGAACCAGCAGGTCAGGGTTGTCAGGACACTTGGGCTGATCCAGGATGGGAGGAAGCTGATTCTCACCAAGGAAATCACAGGAAATGGATGCTTAAACCAGAACGCTGAATTTTTAACTTATTATGAAGACTGCCAAGCAGAGTGGAAATGAATGTGGGTTTGTTAGTGTGTTCTCTCCCTTAAAAGATGGTCTCCTCAGAAAGCCAATTTTCATGATCATTATTCTTGTGGAGGAGGAGGTTCAAGGTGACCAGCGTTAGCTGGAGGAGCTGCTGTAATTCGCAAGACATGTTTCAGTACTTCCTACCCACAGAAAGTATATCCTTTGTCCTACTATGAGCTTTCCTTTATAACCAGGAAAGTGGCCTTACTTCTCTTTCCAAGGAGATATTTGGGGTAAGCATCAGTTATGGATAAAGAATAGGGATGTGTGGTTCCAACTAACCCCTCGTTCTTTACTAATATTAAGTCTCAAGTTCCCTCACCCACTTGCAAGACCAGTCAGGGCGAGTGGCAGTGGCAGACACCCCCTGACGCCTAAGGTTCAGCCAGAAGCAGCCTTCTTTCTTTCCTTGCTGGCGACATTGGAGGTGGCAGAGATCCTAAATATTCTTGAGTGTCCTTAGTGTGAATCTTACCCCCAGCCACCACCCCAGTTCCCAGTAGACAGTAGACACAAGGGCCAGGAGAGAGTTAAAATCCATTTTATTAATAGATTGGAGAACACAGCTGGGATCTGAGACCCAGGTGAGGGCTTCTTCTGTCCTCTCTGAAGTGATGACAGCTGAGCCCACTGGGCGGGGCTTGCCAAACTTACCCACCCATCACAGACCGCGGCTGGAAGGTGGAGAGCCGAGTCCTGGCTGGGCCCACCATGGGCAGGTCCTGCTGGGTCTGTTTACTGCATGTAGACTGGAAGCCCAAAAGCAGGTCCAAGAGAAAGAAAGAGAGAGAGAAGAAGCAGGAGGACAAGTAAGCAGGGACCTTTAGTACATGATCTCCACCCAGTAGAGAAAGATGGCCCAAAGAGTCTCAAACTCATCAACCACAACCATCCCGAAGTCACCTCAGAGGTGGAAGCTTCTCCCCAGTTCTTTCCTTCCAGGCTGGCATGTGGTTAGGAGAGATTTTCCCTACTTGGCTAAGCAAAGAATGGAGGAATAAGGAAAAGGGTTTCTCCCAAGAGGTGAGGTTGGGTCAGGAGCCTGGACTGCTCAAGGAATAAGTAGCCAAGGGTCACTTCATGTGAACCTTCCAGTCTGCAGATACTAAGCCAAACAATGGTGCTGGCTACAGCTGCTGGAGCTGGGACTGTAGGTCCCTAAGTCACCTCATGCCTGAATAATAACCACAGAATTCTTTTTTTTGCCTGTACTCTACAGCCTGGACCTCTGACAACTGCTGAGTAAGAACTTGACAGACCACTCCCCACCACACCCTACCCCCCAAGGTGGGTGAAATGGATGAAGGTGATCAAAAGGTACAAACTTGCAGTTTTAATAAGTTCTGGCTGGAGATGTAATATACAACAGGGGGACTCTAGTTAACAATGCTATATTGTATTGAAAGTTGCTAAGAGAGTAGATCTTAAAAGTTCTCATCACAAGAAAAAAATTTTGTGATTCTGTGAGGTGAAGGATATTGACTCAACTTCTTGTGTGATCATTTCACAACATATACAGATATCTAATCATGTTGTATACCTAAAACTAATACAATTTTATGTCAATTATAGCTCAGTAAAACAGAGATTGACAGACTTAAGAGGCCACCACAGCTGAGGTACAATTTGGCTTGACATCGTGGTGTTCCTACTGTAGAGAGGGCTCCTTTTGCTTCATTCACAGTAACAGCTTCTGAGTTAGCAGTCAGGGATGGAGTTGTTAGCTTTGTGATAAACCAAAGCAGTAGGCCTTTCAGGCCATGCTGTATGGAGGGGAAGACAAGAGTAGAAGAATAAGGTTCTTCCAGGGTCCATGAACAGATCAAAGTTTCATGGCAAGTGTGGGAGAGTTGAGTCTGATGTAGCTCTCCCTGGCACAGGAAAGCAGCCTTTTCTGCCAGAACTGATGACCTACTAATTTTTAACATTTGGAAATCCTTCCTCCTATCTATAATGAAGAACACCTCTCATCTATTTTCTCCATGCTCTGCTATTTCCCTAATTATCTTAATGCTATAGCTATCTTTTATGTTTGGGTCCATTTTCAGTACACTCAATATTCCTGGTTTTAGCCTGAGTGATTTCTGCAAAGGATTAATCCCATCCATTACCTGTGATTTTCTTTTCATACTATCACCATTCAAGGGTGACCTCATTCATGGTCCTATATGCAAATTTACTTTGTTGGAACTACAGAAAGGTACCATAAATAGCCTGAATAAAACTAAATGATTGCAGAAACATTTTTCCCCAGAGTATTTTTATTAGGGATTCCTGCCACCATATTAACATATAAAACAATCTGGATGTTGACATAGAAATGCAGATTTTACTATACAAAGATAAGGCTCCAATCACAGGTAACATGGCCCCCATATCTCTAGTATTTCAATGAAATCACCTTTTGAATTCTTCCCAGAGTTGTCTTTATAAATATTAGACAAACCACAAAATATATTCCAAATACATAACATTTTACAGTATGTTCCAAGCAGACAGAAATACACGATACTTTACCTACATTTTTTTTATGATCCAACTTGCATTAGCACTAAAGACAAGATTGTGTGTGTATATGTATTTGCCATATATGTGTGTATATATAACCACAAATGTACACACTTGTTTTCATGGAAAATTGAAACCTTTGAGACTGTGGGTTTTATCCCATGGTATCTGAGAGGGAAAAGGAATAATAACATGTCACAAACTCCTCAATTGGGGAAAAATAAACACAACTATGTTTGAAAGGCATATCAGTTGTGTGTATACAAATGCACACATATATACAGATTCATATATAAACACACCTATACCAATAATATGGAATATACATATACTCACACACTTGCTTTGAATTCTGTGTCTCACTATGTTATATACTCTCCATCTTTAGAAGCACTTTTCTCCTCATTTGATTCAGGCAGTGGGCGACTCTCTCCTAACAAAACTAAAGTGGATATTTCTAAAACGCTGATTCTATCCCGATAAAATGGCATCTTAGGATCCCAGTTTTATGTTTGGTGGCTGTTGCTTAAATTCGGCAGACCCTATTCTGTTAACTCCTTCGCTTAAAAACATTTCTATTCAATAATGACGTTCTTGCCTAAAAGAGATGTTAGCTGGAAATGTTAAAATATATTGATTACTCCCCAATATAAATCTGCATGGTTGGATTTTGTGGGGTATTGATCCTGTCAGTATTTTTCAGTGTTTTATGATGGGCCATATATTATATTTCCATAATTTAAAAATATTTAATATTACTTTAAAAGGGCAGGGCCTAGGTTGGTTATGGTTTGAACTTCAAAGGAAATGGTATGAAGCATGATTACAAGGGGGACTAATTCTGTGCAGACTACACTGGGGTACCCTTTTGTCAGAACATAGGACTTGGAAGTCATAACAAAGGGGTTCGATTTCAAAGCTGGCCATTTGAGAACTTCCAACATGAACTATATAAAATATATTCTATGTTGGTATCAAATTTCAGGTATTAAATATTCTTCAATAAAAAGCAAAATAAATCACTGAAAGCACAGGGGAGAGAATACCTTACAAACTTAATAGCAAATGTATATTCTAGTTTGTTCCACTGAAGGCTTTTAAAACTTATTATTTTCAAACTTAAATGTCTAATAGAGCACTCAGAGCTCCCATGAATGGCCAATTTAGAAATGATGCTAATGATAGAGTTGGAGCCTCTATTACAGTTAAGGAGAGAATACAGGCGCCCAATCTCTTTGTAAATGAAGGCAATAGAATATTCTCAGTCCATGGAGAAATTCCAATGCACTATGCCCTTAGCTTCATACTCTTTTCTTTCTCAGTTATATCGCAGTATTCGTAAGTACTCTGCCTGGGGAAGCATCAGAGCCTTTCTTTCTATGGTGGAGCTTATAGTATGAAGGAAGGTACTAGAACATTTGTTCCCTCTACTATCTGGTTAGAGAGTCCTTTTACTATTTCACCCATACTGAAATGCTAGATCCTCTAATGAGTCCCTTCCACTTTCTTAATGGAAGCCCCAATTCAAAATGAGTTAAGATCTTAAGAAAACCAGGAAAGGAAAAGAGGATAATGGCCACCAAATAGAAAGATCATCAGCATTTATCAAAAAGCCAAACTCCATTCTTTTCATAGCCTTTCTCTTACACACACTTCTTTTGAAATTTCTTCCATCGAATCAATGAATAGCATGAGGGACCCAAAAAATATGCCTTAAGGTTTCTCCACCTTTATTCAGATCCACTTAAATATATTCATCTCAACTCGGACAGCAAGTGCACATTCTTTACATCATCCAAAACCATGCATTACCACCACTTTCATAAAAGATGGTTTGCCTACCACCCCTTGCATACCAGCCTCACCAGAACGGTTTTGCTACTTGCCCAATGCCCATCTGCTTCTACTCTTGGGTTTAATGTACAATAATATGCAATTAACTAGTGTAACTTTTAACTTTTTTCCTTTAAAATGTTCTGCATCCCCAACCAAAATATATGGACGGAATGCAAATGAAGGTAGTAAGTCATCTTGTCCAAATGGACCACCCTGTGTCCACTTGAGTCTTCTTCGTTTCTACATCCTCCAGTTCCATCATCCATTTCAAGAGCTTACTACAGTGTCTTTCTACCTATTTTCTATCTCATACGCAGGTAACAACAAATTATGCCATTGGTTCAGCCAAAAATATTGTAAAAAACAAACCAGTGCCAAAACATTAAAAAATTCCTGACATACCCTTTGCGCATTAGTCTTACAATCTGTACACTTAAATAACTCCAGGAGGCTTCTTTTTTTTGCTAAAAATTTACCAAAATATTTTGAACACATAAAAATATTTTTAAAAAAACAAAACAAAAGCCCAGCATAAATTTAGTTGTATAGGCATCGGTTAGAGGACGTTGTTTTCACTAAGGATTATATTCAAAAACTTTCTCTTGGGTTGTTACTAAAATTCTGATTCTGAACCTTATAATGGTGCTAACTATTAAAAAAGGGGAAATCTAATTCAGCTCAATGTATTATGATAGAGTATGTCTGTAGTATAATAAAAAATAAACATATTTTTGGTTATTTAAAGGCCATCTTCCTGACCTGTAACTAAAATAACTGTATTTGACTTGAACTTATTTAACTGCAGTGAATTATGGAAAGCTAACTTAATCAGTTATGAGTAAGGAACACCTGCTCATGGCCCTGTGACCATTCAGAACCAGGTATTTGCTAAAAAAAACAAAAACCAACAAATCACTAGTATTGAATATAGCCCTTAGTCATATGAGATACGGACTTTATGAGCAACCCAGCATGTAGAGAATGAGGTTTACTTTGCCAGCCACCCACTCCTTTAGAGGGCAGTAGTATTCATAGTGAAACTGCTCAAACTCTGGCGTCTGGCGGATTTCACATAAGAAGGAGAGATCAATACCTGACTCCAAAAGGAGGAGGAGCAGGGGGAATACAAAGAGCAGCAGCCCCAGGCCCACCACCAGGAGCCTGGAAAAACTCTTGACCAGTGGGTTCACCCAAATATGGCCGCTCAGAATGTCATAGCTCCACGACAAAGCTTGGCGAGCCTCCTTCAGCTCTTCTTCTTCGGCCATCAAAAAGGCATGTTCGTCTGCTTCTAGTTCCTCAAATGAATCTGTGTCTTCTCTTTCCAACTCCAGCCTCGATGGACAGTCAAAGAGCATGTCAATCTCATCATCATCCACAGGGGTGGGGAGCAGGCTGGCACTTGGGTTGTAGGCCAGTTCGGAGATGGTCAGGGGCTCTTCTTTGATTTTCTCTTCCTCTTCACTTTGGGGGTTTTTATACTCCCGGGCTTCCTTCACTGGTGAGCTAGAGATCACAGGGGCAGAAATGTCTTCTTTGGGTAATGGAACACCTGTAAAGAGACATTTTTTTTTCCTTAACTTTATATTTCAGGTTGTTTTATCCCTCCCCCACGAAGATCTATAGATGGAAAACTAACAAAAGAAAAAAAAGGAACTCAAGGAATCCATGAGATTATTTTGCGGAATCCTTTTAACAAGGTCATTTTAGTACAAGACTCTAAGGTCAACATGCTAAACCCAAAATAAGCAACACCTCTCAAATGGTTGACAATACAGTATTTATATGTACAATTATGGTCTGCAAGCATAAGAGAATAAACCACTATTGTAATTTTGAGTGGTGTCTTTTAGAAAACATTTACTGTAATACTTCATTGGATGACAAATTATAGAATCTACTGTTCAATGATAGTCTACTTTTTATGTATTTTAGTCTTCATTCCAGGCACAAGTTAGTGGTTTCTAGGTTTATAGGACTGCAATAACTGCAATCATGTATGTACAAACTTGCATCTTGCTCCCTTCATTTAACATTTTAACTTAGACATTCTCCACTCATACAATCAATTAGTTGCCTATTGGCAAACATTTAGATTGCAGTTATAGAAAAAAAATAATAAAGATACTAGGAGGTATCTTTATATATAAAAGCTTTTTTACCCTCTTGTTTGAGTTCATTTGCCACAGAGAGCTGTCTGAAAATTGCTTTGTCAAAGGGCATGCATGTTATTTCTTAAAGTTTATCAGGGGAGAGTGGTTTCTCAGCTCTTTGTGTCAACAGATGGCAAACGGAGTTGCCTAAGGCCAGCTCTCCTCATTTGGAGCCTTGGGATCCTAGTGGGAAATAAAGGTCTGGCTTTATCAAAGCCATGTGCCTCAGGGTGGATCTACAATGTGATAAAGTGGTAGCCAGGTGCATGAAGTAACTAGAAACCAGCTTTTAACTACTACATTTCAGGATTTCTAAGACGTGCAAGAAGTGGTATCACCAAGATGCTACCACAGGTCATACGGGACTTAGCTGTTGTTCTTGTGAGGGGGAGCAAACAACTATCCCTGGACATGACACCAAGGAGAGACACCTAGAACATGGGAGTGAGGCTAAAGGAGCCCACTGCACCACAGAGAGCAAGAGAGACCACACCAGAAGGGTAGAGTCATGGCTACATAATGCCCCGTCCCTGGCCAGTGACCAACACCATACTTGGAAGTCTTATGAGAGCCCAGGGGTGATATCCAGGATTGGGGGTTGCCTCAAGGGAGCTGGATTTGCCTCCTCATGAGTATAGGGGAATCTGTGGGGCTCAAAAACTGGGACTCTGATTGGGACAGAGGAGCAGGGAGGGGGCTTCCCACAAGCAGCACTTGGATCTGGGCAGACCTAGTGCACACCTGCTGTGCCCAAGTAGAAGAGTGGTTCTGTTCATTTGCAGAACCAAGTCAGGGGTACCGTCTGACCCCTGGGAATGCAGCAGGGTTCAGGTCTGCTTGATTTGGGTCCTCAGATGAGTTTTATCAGCCCTGGAGCCTGGTCTGTCCCCTCCCTGGGCAGAAAAACTGAGTCCTAGTCTCACACTCTGTAGAGCCTGGCTCCTGGCCCCTCTCAACCAGAAAGCCTGTTGGTGAAAATTAAAAGTTGCTTGAAGGGGGCCTCCCAGGCAAAAGAGTTGAGGTTGAGTCACAGCTCGAGGCTGTGGACAGTAGTCCCCAGGCCCACGTGACAGAAGGGCTGGGGAGAACACCTGTAAGCTACATGACTTGGCAACTCTCAGGCTGAGGGGTAGGTGCGTAGAGCTGACTGCCTTCAGAGCAAAGCAAGGGGTCCTGTTCGGCCAGAAAAACTGCAGCATGAGTCAGCTAAGGTAAGGACAACAAAGAGCCTTACTGGCCTCTGAGCTGCTTCTCCTGTTGTGTCCAGTCAGGGAGACTAATCCATAGCCCCACTCATTGCTGAAGAGGCTTCAGCCCCACTGACCAAGGAACTTCACTAGAATGCATCAGAAATTGCATGGCCCATCCAGCAGCCCTGCTCCCAGAGAGCACACACCCTGGGGCTTTCCTTGCCTGCAGAGCAAAACTGGTAGCCTCACCTGCCCAGGATATCCCATGCACACTCTTATTTGATTCAGGTCCCCAGACAACAAACTATGCAGGCCCTGGGCCCTGTCTTGCTGCCCTAGCAGGGCAGGGAAGCTAATTCATAACCCCACTTTAACTGCTGAGTATAACACCCAGTCGTGACCATCTAGTAAGATTACCCAGAGAATCCAGGCAACTGTGGTGCCCATCCTACAGCCTCACTTGGGCAGGAAACCAAGCCAGCAGTCCTACCCAGCTGTTCTCAGTCAGTGGCACACCCACACACCCTTGACCTCAGAGCTTAAACACTTGCCATGCCCCCAAAATAGCCCCTAACAGTAGGCCTACCTGCCCGAGCATGTTACCAGTAGACACGTTCAGAAACCCAAACAGAGCTGTTGAAGAACACTCTCTGCCAAAATGAACCTGCAAAGTCTAGGACAGGAGATCACTTACCACTTGCAGATACCAAAGTAGTTCACTGGTGATCAATCATCACAATAAGTCAGGTAAATATGACCACACCAAAGCATACTAATTAAGGCACTAATTACTAACCCTAGAGAAACGGAGATCTGTGAACTGTCAAAGAATTCAAAATAATCCTCTTAAGTTTAGTGAACTACAAGAACGCATAGGTGGCTAAACAAAATTAGGAAAATGAAAAATGAATAAAATGAGAAGTTCAACAAAGAAATAGAAACTATCAAAAAATAAAATCCTAGAGCTGGAAAATACAATAACTGAACTGAAGAATTCAATAGAGTGATTCAAAAGCACACTTGACTAAGCATAAGAAAAAATCAGCAACCTGCATGACTGGACAAATTATCCAGTCAGAAAAACAAAAAGAAAAAAATGAAAAAGTGAGGTCACAGCCCATAGAACTTATGGGACACAATGAAAGAAACAATATCGGCATTATGGAAATTCAAGAAGGAAAAGAGAAAAGGGTAGAAAGTACATTTAAAACAACAATGGCTGGGCTTCTGATCTAAGATAGCAATATAGGAAGACCTGAACATACTTCCTCCACATACACACCAAATCTACAGCTAGTTATAGTGCAGTTCCTCCTGAAGACCTGAGGGCTGAAGTAGCAGCTTCTGTACAACATGATAGAACACAGAGAAGGGCAAGAGAGGTGGAGACACTGTAATGAAGAAAACCCCTACCCCTGATGCTGCAAACTGCACAGGGGAGGGATAGTACTGAAGGACTGTGCGTGGATTCATTGCTCTGGAGCACAGAAAACAAGCTGTGGTTAAAAGAGCAACTAGAATATGAAAGATTAAGCCCTAGAACTCTGCCAGATGGCAGCAGAACTGCTGGAACTCTCTTTGGGTCAGAGGGACTGGCAAGCACCATGGTTTACATTCCCCCTCCACCTTGATAGCACAGGTGGGAACAGGGTCTGGATAGAATAACCAGCCTGCCACCCCAGCGAGCTCTGGGCACCTAGCCCAGACCAGTCCTGCATGCCCTGGGGCACACAAAAAGAGCTGTGGTTTAAAAGAGCAGCAAGGATATAAAGGATCCAGCCCTAGAACATTGCCAAATGTCAGGAGAGCTGCTGGAACTCTCTCCAGGTCAGAGAGGCTGGTGACCCACCATACTTTACAGTCTCCCTCCATCTTGATAGCATGGATAGGAGCAGGGGCTGGGAGCCCTAGCTTATTGCCTCAGTGAATCATGGGACCCTAGCCTACACCACCTTCAATTGTCCAACCAGAGTGGCCCCAGCACAGCACACAATGAGATGTGCCTAATCCAGTGCTCACTATAGCTCCAGCTATCTTACCAAGGTATCACAGAAGCAAAGTACCCTGGAACACTTCAGCTCCAGATGACTTGCTAGGGCACCCTCATACCTGCTTCAGGTCCAGCGACCCTAGCCAGGGCACTCCCTGCAGAAAGCACCCTGGGAACACCCAGCTAAGTACCTGCCTCAGTTCCAGCCACCTACCAGGGTGCACCCCGTGTGAGTACCCCAGGACCCCTTGGCTTATACCCACTTCAGCTTCAGCAGTTTTGTCAGGGTGCCCTCAGCAGAGTGAGCCCTGGAACCCCAGCCCACACCAGTCACAGCTTGAGCCAGCCAAAGTGCCAGGAACACACAGTTTAACAGGGGATGACCATACACAAGGCCATTCCTTTGTGTTTGGAAGAAGTAGTTGTTCCACCTAATTCATAGAAACAAACACAGAAAGAATAACAAGACAAAACCACAGAAAAAGAACTAAATGAAATGGAGATAAGCAATCTACCTGATGAGTTTAAAGTAATGATCATAAAGATGCTCACTGGCCTGGAGAAAAAAGCTGGTGAACTGAGAACTAAACCAAAGAAATGAAAAATATAAAAAATGACCAATCAGAGTTGAATAATACAATAACTGAAATGAAAAATACACTAGAGAAGATCAACAACAAACTAGTAGATGCAGAAGAATGCACATATCCGTGATCTGGAAGGCAGGATTAGAAAGAATTTTTAAAAGTGAGGACAGGTAAAGGGATCTCTTGGTCAACATCAAGCAAACATACAATCACATTATAAGGGTTCCAGCTGGAAAAGAGAGAGGGGGCAGAAAACTTACTGGAAAAAATAAGAGCTGAAAACTTCCCTAACCTGTGGAGGGAAACAGACATCCAGGTTCAGGAAGCAGAGAGAGTTCCAAACAAGATGAACCCCAAGGAGGTCTACACAAAATAATTAAAATGTCAAAGATTAAAGATAAAGCTAGAATTTTAAAACCCACAAGAAAGAAGCAATGAGTTGCAGCTAGTACAAGGGAAACCCCATAAGGCCATCAGCTGATTTTTCAGCAGAAACTGTAACTATATCATGCCACTCCCTCCTGGCCTGCAAAGTGCTGAAAGGAAAAAAACCTACAACCAAGAATACTCTACTTGGCAAGGTTATCATTCAGAATTTAAGGAGAAATATGGGGTGCCTGCGTGGTGCAGTC